AGACTTCTGTAAAACATAAACCCCAACAGAGGTATTTATCTGAACATTGGTCCCCTGTCCAGGAGAATACATAACCGATAATAGTTTACATAACATTCACAGACTTCTGTAAAACATAAACCCCAACAGAGGTATTTATCTGAACATTGGTTCCCTGTCCAGGAGAATACATATCCGATAATAGTTTACATAACATTCACAGACTTCTGTAAAACATAAACCCCAACAGAGGTATTTATCTGAACATTGGTCCCCTGTCCAGGAGAGGATAAAACGGATAATTATTTACATAACATATACAAACTTCTGAAATAATACATATCATAAGAAAAGTATTTATCTGGACAGAGTACCATTGTCCAGGGGGTAAAAACGGATAATTATTTACATACCATATACAAACTTCTGAAATAATACATATCATAAGAAAAGTATTTATCTGGACAGAGTACCATTGTCCAGGGGGGTAAAAACGGATAATTATTTAACATGAAATTCATAAACTTCTGTATAACTAATAGACTAACAGAGATATTTATTTCGACAGAGGATCTGTGGCCGGGAGAAGGCAAGAAATGTATATGTTTACATATCACCAATAATTTTGTATATAACACATAATCTAAGACAGTTATTTATGTGGACAGAGAAACTATGTCCAGGAGGAGGAAGGACGGGTGGTTCTTTACACGACAACTATGGGGATCATCAGAAGAACGTTCGAAAAGTGTCGGCACGTCCGTAACATTCTGCAAACTCTGCTCGTGAAGTTTGAGGAACGAGATGTGTTCATGAACCGCACGCATCAGAGGGAACTATTAGAGCGATTAGAAACCGGGGTTGTGCAAGTTCCACAAATTTTTGTAGAAGGAAATTGGTTTGCGGTAAGTTTTCTAACGCAATACATTTTTAATTAGTCAAACATTTTAGGAAATGTGCACAAATTGTTAAAAGTTTTAAAAACAACAATAAAAATATAGCGATAAAGTTTGATAAAAGTAAAGTTTCTTAATTATAGTCGACATGAATCTCGCTAAAAGGAAAATGAAACAGGGAAGAAATTTAAAGGTCATCAAAGCTACAAATGACTTGAAATAAGGCGTAGAAAGAGCTCTAAACTACAATATTGTTTGAGATATCAGACTTAATAAGGCGTAGAAAGAGCTCTAAACTACAATATTGTTTGATATATCAGACTTAATAAGGCGTAGAAAGAGCTCTAAACTACAATATTGTTTGAGATATCAGACTTAATAAGGCGTAGAAAGAGCTCTAAACTACAATATTGTTTGATATATCAGACTTAATAAGGCGTAGAAAGAGCTCTAAACTACAATATTGTTTGAGATATCAGACTTAATAAGGCGTAGAAAGAGCTCTAAACTACAATATTGTTCAAGATCTCAGACTTGCCAAAATAAATAGAAGGAATTTATTCACCTTAAAACAGTGTTACCGGGTGGTTAACCATAAGATTGAAGCTATCAACGTGGTGTTACCGGGTAATTAACCATAAGACTGAAGCTAGTAATGTTACTATAAGACCGAAGCAATTAATGTCGTGTTAACGGGTGGTTAACCATAAGACTGAAGCTAGTAATGTTGTGTTACCGGGTGGTTAACCATAAGACTGAAGCTAGTAATGTTGTGTTAACAGGTGGTTAACTATAAGACCGAAGCAATTAATGTCGTGTTAACGGGTGGTTAACCATAAGACTGAAGCTAGTAATGTTGTGTTACCGGGTGGTTAACCATAAGACTGAAGCTAGTAATGTTGTGTTACCAGTAGGTTAACCATAAGACCGAATGTAGTAATATTGTGTTACCAGGTAGTTAACCATAAGACCGAATGTAGTAATGTTGTGTTACCGGGTAGTTAACCATATAACCGAATGTAGTAATGTTGTGTTATCGGGTAGTTAACCATAAGATCGAAGGTAGTAATGTTGTGTTACCGGGTAGTTAACCATAAGATCGAAGCTAGTAATGTTGCGTTAACTAATATTGTGTTACCAGGTAGTTAACCATAAGACCGAATGTAGTAACGTTGTGTTACCGGGTAGTTAACCATAAGACCGAAGCTATTAATGTTGTGTTATCGGGTGGTTAACCATAAGACCGAATGTAGTAATGTTGTGTTACCGGGTAGTTAACCATAAAACCGAATGTAGTAATGTTGTGTTACCGGGTAGTTAACCATAAAACCGAATGTAGTAATGTTGTGTTACCGGGTAGTTAACAATAACACCGCAGCTATTAATATTGTGTTACCAGGTAGTTAACCATAACACCGCAGCTATTAATATTGTGTTACCAGATAGGTAACCATAAGACCGAAGCTATTAATGTTGTGTTACCAGATAGGTAACCATAAGACCGAAGCTATTAATATTGTGTTACCAGGTAGGTAACCATAAGACCGAAGCTATTAATGTTGTGTTATCGGGTGGTTAACCATAAGACCGAAGCTATTAATGTTATCGGAGCTAGTAATGTATATTTTATGAACTGATATGTATTAACTCGTTACCTCTAACGACGTAAGCTTGGGCAAAAGAGACTCATTCCTTTTTGTGCTATTTCAGGTTTTACTTTTTTTCTTATGAGCACCTCCTTTGTGTTAATAATAATTATTAGTACCGTTCAGCATATGGATCAAATTTTAGGAACTGCGACGTTAATGAACACTGTAATGTAGGTCACGTACTCCAAACGTAAAACTCAATATATTTAGTTACTGAATAACACGCAATCGTCCTGTGACCTTTAACAAGGTCTACCTAGGATTTGTCGTTGCACGGTAATTGGAACAAGACTTCCTTGAGGCTAATCTATGTATAAATGGTTATGACTAATACTGTGGATTCTATTGGAGACAAAGAGTGGGACATTATTAGTGACAATTAACAGAATGAACTCCTTTAACCGGCATGTTTTAGCTAAATAATTACAAAATGTTCGTACAGAAGTATTGTAGGTCGTACATAGCATTGTGGTGTACAAAATTATATAGTTCACAAGAACCTGTTACCAAAATGTTGTTAGCAGCTTACTTAGTTGGTATAAACCAGTCCACCTGTTCAACAGTTTAGTACCAGCTACACAATATAAACCAGTCCACGTGTTCAACAGTTTAGTACCAGCTATACGGTATAAACCAGTCCACGTGTTCAACAGTTTAGTACCAGCTATACAGAATAAACCAGTCCACCTGTTCAACAGTTTAGTACCAGCTATACGGTATAAACCAGTCCACGTGTTCAACAGTTTAGTACCAGCTACACAATATAAACCAGTCCACGTGTTCAACAGTTTAGTACCAGCTATACGGTATAAACCAGTCCACGTGTTCAACAGTTTAGTACCAGCTA